GAGAGAGAGGAGAAGAGTGAGGAAGAAGAACAGGCAGGGAAGTATGTATGTGTATGTTATGTCTGCATGAAATATGGATTTAGCAGTCTAGCTCCAGGGCCTTTTACTCTAATGGTTTTATTGCATGAATAAGGAAATTAACATTCTAGATTAATGATAAATTTCTTTTTCAGCCATTGCAAAGAATTTTTTCAAAAATGCCCCTTTAAAAATACAGAATTGTTTAAATTAATATTGTGTTATAAATCAAAGAGAGAGATTATACTGCACATTATCAAGGTAAATCTTGTTAATATGGACCATATTACTGTGACCTGATTCAAAGCAATCCACTTAATTACTGATGTAGCTTAATCTAAAGTTTTACAGAAAGAAAACTACTTAGTCTGTGAGAGATCAGAAGCTAATGGATACTCACGATGAGATGTTGGTCTTTGCATGCTCTTGAATTAACTCCCCTTTGGGATTAACCGTGAATATTCTGTTTAATGAGACTCCCACTTGCTTGTAAGAATACACGTCCTAGATAAGAACAACAAAAAGTGGGGTTCTTCTTAAAATAAACCAAAGGCAATTTCCTTTTTCTTAATATATTTATGTAATTCAAGGCTGAGGAAACCTGAGACCCTCCAAGTGTTGTTATGCGCTGTCAAGTTGCTTTCTACCTATGGCAACTCAAACTGGGTCTACCCATCTACAACCACCTGATCAATTTTAAATTTAAATTAATGTTTATTTGTTATTTGAACTGAATTTTATATTTATAGATCAATCCACAGCCAGTGTAGCTGCAACCTTAAGCACGTCTCTGCATGCTAATAATCACACAGAGACAGAAAAAAGAGCTCTGGGCGGCTAGAACAGCCAATATTCACACATCATGAAATGTTTGTGTGACTCCTGTAAGGTATTTCTGCAATCTCTACAATCATGCTCTTCAGACCAAAAGACAGGGTGAAGAACTGACATGATGGTAAAAATCCAAATAAAACAATTGCACAAAACTCCTTACATACAAGACTATCATGTATTATTTATTTATTTATTTACAGTATTTTCAGCCGCACCATTACCAGTGGCTTCTGGGCGGTATTAGCAGGCACTGGTCTCTCTATTTCTTATTTATAAGTACAACATGCACCCAGTACAGCTGAAGCTTCTCTTCAGACAAGTCCTTAGGCAAATAACGTCACAAGCAGTACTTACTGCAGGCCTGTTGCCAAATGCAGCATAAAAAGGTTCTGTGTTGGGGTGAAACAGGTTTTTTATGTCGGTTAAACACTGAACTTTAAACTTCTCTGGCTTCTTCTCTATCACCTCTCTGAAGCAAAGAATACACAGAAAGACAAGTGTTTTTGCTCCATAAATACAACACAATGCAATACATTTCATTAGGTTATATGAAAAAAATTACTAAATGGATTCCCATTCACCAAAAAATGATCTAGGCTTTCAAAATGAACTTCCCATCAAAGTTGTTTGAAACGTTCATGGATTCACAGTTAAAATTGAGAAGCAAATCTTAGGCCAGATTTTTTTTAATTCTTTAGTCCAAAAAATACAATAACTCCATGCCTATGTCAGAACCACAGATAGAAAACAACTACCACGTTCAGGTAAACAAGCAAAAACTGGTTCCCATCTTTAAAATTATAAGGGTAAATTGTGTCTGCAGACATTTGGCCTAATTTTTTGACTTTTTTGTTTTGTTCACCATCCTCTGCATTTTGTACCAACTACAGTAGCCTGCTAAAATGTTCTGGAGAACTCAAGACCTTTTCCATTCCTGTGGCATTTTGCTTGGTCCTAATAAAGACACTGCACGTGTGGATAACATGTGGGCCCAACTCAGGGTAAAATTAGCCGTGAATATACTCCCATTAAAAATGTTGGCCAAGTGAAACTTCAGTTTCATGGCTGCTTACAATTG